AAGAACTGAAGAAAAAAATAGAAAGGCATTCTGGAGTAATTATCATTATAAAAGCATTAACATTTTCATCACAGTGTTAAATAGTTGATTTTTGTTAGAGGGTTTCAATAATGTTGATCGATGACGTCACAACTGCATCAAAACAAAAATTAAAAGACCAGAAAACTGTGTTTGAGAGGGAAATACTTTAAGACCGCGGAACATTAACTGGCAAAATTGGAAATATACAGCTTACGTCATTTCTATCTGTTACAATCAAAACATTCAGTGATAGACAATGAAATGGGCGGGTACAATTCGACGCGGACGTTTGGAAAACATGGGATTGAAATTGCAGATCGAAATTCATTTTCAATCCACCTCAGCTACGCTAGAAGGCACATTATTACTGATTGACCCAGAAGACAAATAATTTCAATTTTGGTACAGTTTAAATTTTTTTGTCCAGTGTTTTAAATGAATAAATATATTTAAGGGACAAATATTTCATTTTTGTTTGGTAAATACATTTATATCTTTGTGGTGGTGGGGGGGGGGGGTGAACGATTTTTAGATAAAGTTGTCCAACAGTTTTCAGTGAGAACTCATACACTCTTATAATCCTAGAAATAAAATATATTGCCATGTTAAGCCATGACCTGACTCGACAATTTTTACCCCCCCCCCCTTCTAGAATCAAATATCTCCTGAAAAATAATCTTTGTCTTGTATGATCTTTCGCGTTCTTAAAATTATAAGCTAAAACCCATATTAATATGAACTTCAAAAAAAAAATGTATTTGGGAGTTAAAATATAGTTGATTTTTGGATCATTCATTCACTTTTTGCGTTGAAAACAGCTCAAGTGAATTGGAAATGAATTTTGATCTGCAATTTCAATCCCATGTTTTCCAAACGTCCGCGTCGAAGTGTACCCGCCCATTTCGTTGTCTATCACTGAATGTTTTGATTGTAACAGATAGAAATGACGTTAGCTGTATATTTCCAATTTTGCCAGTTAATGTTCCGCGGTCTTATAATTGTTTGTGATAAAAGTATGATTGATCAGGTGTACTGATTTTAAAGCCGTATTTTTTTCATTACTGGAGACAAGAAGCCGTGTCCTTATGTAAGTCAGGATTTCCTCTGATGTTTTTGAATAAATCAAAGAATGCAAATATAAGTAATAAACAACGATTATTCAGTGAAAAATTATAAAAAATCTTCAAAAATCTCAAATATTGCAAAAATGTGACATCTATGGTGGCATAATTCTGCCTTGTGTGCAAGTTATTTTTCTATCAAATATGTCGACATGCAAGATAAAAATGTTGACATACATATTTATCTTGCACGTTTACATAAATTAGTAGCATTTAGCATGTTGGATGTCACATGTTGGCAATATTTGAGATTTTCGAAGATTTTTTATAATTTTTATTTTATTGCAATTTTCTTGCATGTCAACATATTTATGTTGCATGTTTACATAGCTATGTTGCATGTTAACATATCTATCTTGCATGTCGACATATTTTATAGAAAAATAACTTGCACACAAGGGGCAGAAATATGCCACCATAGACATCCAACATGTTAAATGCTACTTATTTATGTAAACGTGCAAGATAAATATGTTGACATGCAACTTAGATATGTTAACATGCAACTTACTTATGTCGACATGCAACTTAGATATGTTAACATGCAACTTATTTATGTTGACATGCAACTTATTTATGTTGACATGCAACTTATTTATGTCGACATGCAACTTGGTTATGTTGACATGCGAGATAAATATGTTGACATACAACTTATAAGTTGCGTGTTGGCATGACTAAGTTGCATGTTTACATAAATAAGTTGCATGTCAACATATTCATCTTGCCTGTCAACATAAATAAGTTGCATGTCAACATAAATAAGTTGCATGTCAACATATTTATCTCGCATGTCAACATAACTAAGTTTTATGTCAACGTAAATAAGTTGCATGTCAACATATTTATCACGCATGTCAACATAACTAAGTTGCATGTCAACATAACTAAGTTGCATGTCAACATAAATAAATTGCATGTCAACATATTTATCACGCATGTCAACATAACTAAGTTGCATGTCAACATAACTAAGTTGCCTGTCAACATAAATAAGTTGCATGTCAACATATTTATCTCGCACGTTTACATAAATAAGTAGCATCTAGCATGTTGGATGTCACATGTGGGCGATATTTGAGATTTTTAAAGATCTTTTATAATATCTATTTGATTGCAATTTTCTTGCATGTCAACATATTTATGTTGCATGTTGACATAACTATCTTGCATGTCAACATATTTATCTTGCATGTCGACATATTCGAAAATTAACATGCAACTTGTTTATGTCGACATGCAACTTAGATATGTTAACATGCAACTTATTTATGTTGACATGCAACTTATTTATGTCGACATGCAACTTATTTATGTCGACATGCAACTTGGTTATGTTGACATGCAAGATAAATATGTTGACATACAACTTATAAGTTGCGTGTTGGCATAACTAAGTTGCATGTTTACATAAATAAGTTGCATGTCAACATATTCATCTTGCCTGTCAACATAAATAAGTTGCATGTCAACATAAATAAGTTGCATGTCAACATATTTATCTCGCATGTCAACATAACTAAGTATCATGTCAACGTAAATAAGTTGCATGTCAACATATTTATCACGCATGTCAACATAACTAAGTTGCATGTCAACATAACTAAGTTGCATGTCAACATAAATAAATTGCATGTCAACATATTTATCACGCATGTCAACATAACTAAGTTGCATGTCAACATAACTAAGTTGCCTGTCAACATAAATAAGTTGCATGTCAACATATTTATCTCGCACGTTTACATAAATAAGTAGCATCTAGCATGTTGGATGTCACATGTGGGCGATATTTGAGATTTTTAAAGATCTTTTATAATATCTATTTGATTGCAATTTTCTTGCATGTCAACATATTTATGTTGCATGTTGACATAACTATCTTGCATGTCAACATATTTATCTTGCATGTCGACATATTCGAAAATTAACTTGCACACAAGGGGCAGAAATATGCCACCATAATATTTCTATGTAAAACTTTGATATGCCATATTGGCCCCACACTATCCCCAGGGGTCATGATATGAACAAACTTGAATCTACACTATCTGAGGATGATTCCACATTAGTTTCATCTTTCCTGGCCTAGTGGTTTTTTAAAAGAATTTTTTTAAAGATTTTTCCTATACACTCCTATGTAAAACTTTGATCTGCCATTTTGGCCCCACCCTACCCCTGGGGGGTCATGATTTGAACAAACTTGAATCAACACTACCTGAGTATAATTCCACATGAGTTTCTTCTTTCCTGGCCTAGTGGTTCTTGAGAAGATGATTTGCAAAAAAACGCCATTAGTTTTTCTCTAATTCATAATTATCTCCCCTTGAAAAAGGGCATGGCCCTTCATTTTAACAATCTTGAATCCCTTTCACCTAAGGAAACCTTGTGGCAAGTTTGGTTGAAATTGGCTCAGCTCTTTTGAGAAGAAGATGAAAATGTAAAAAGTTTACGACAACGCCAACGACAACAACGACTACAACAACGACAGACAACGGACAAATTTTGATCAGAAAATCTCACTTGAACCTTCGGCTCAGGTGAGCTTAAAATGAAACAAATCGTTACTTCTAGTCTGAAAACGATCTCTGAAATTTAAAATGACGGGTGTGAATTTGACATTCATCGTCGTCCCTATTTATGCTAGTTTGCTCTGCTCTTATATTGTATTGTTTTATGAACTTTGAGATTGAATACTGTTTGTTATCTCCATATCCTTCTTCTAAGCAAATCAGCTCAAGCAGGTCCCGGTAGAGCTTACAGGTAAAAGAAACTTACCTCAGACTCTTGCATTATTACCATCCTCTTCATATTTCGGCACCCATTATTCGTTCTGTCTTTGAACAAACCAGAGCAATCAAGGGTGTCGTCAGTCTGCAATGTTATACTCTGTTACGTGAAGGTTTGGCCATAAATAATCTGACTCTGCATATGTCACCTAAACCACCCAACCCCCTGCTCCACAACAAAAGTACTTTGTTTTCTGGATCCTATTTTTTTCATGCTTAGGTGTATTTTAAAAACTCAAAATTTAATCTACAATTTTGACTGAATGCTTTCTAAGACGCGTGAGTCGAAATACACACATTTCATTGTATACTATTTTTTTTTTCTTTCAAGAAAGTTTCAATTCGAGTTGCCTTCTCGAGTGCAGAACATTGGACAATCATACTCCCTTCAGGATTTTTAGACTAAGGAAAGTAATTTGGCGAGGTACCACCTGTTCACCCCCTCCTAAAAGCTTGTTAACGGAGCCCCTCATTTCTCCGTGTGTGTGTAAAAAGGCATTGTTTATGAGAAGATACCGACTCACATCCTGTATAGGAATAATTTAATTCATTTATATTTCTAATTGGAAATACTGGGTTGGATTCCTTTATTTAAAATGAACTATTCCTTATTCATGCTATTATACTATAATATTATAATTACATAATATCCATGTCTTATGTACATTGCATACATAGGTCGTTATCATGCAAAGATGTTAATGTTTTCCAAAACCGTTGTTATGCCAGAATGACACAAACTGAATACTCAAATTTTATTAATTGGAATTTTATATCTGCATAATCATCTATAGAATACAATTCATCATTTTTTTTACATGATACAGAGGTATTTGAATTGTCAAAATTTATTTTCAAAAGTACTCTCAAACTTTCAAAATAGGATTCACATTGTGTCAATTACCAAAAAATCTACACTTGAATTTGAAACAATATTATACAACAAATGCAAGTGTATAATTTTTGCTTCTAATTCCGTTATTTTCTTAATTATATCTTCCAATTTCATTTTTTATCCAAAATTAGTTCTAATCACTAATTTTAAATGAAAGATATAAAATACCATGAGCATGTAGTTTGAAAAATATACATATATTCGGTATCATTAAGGTAAAAATTTTATCCTCGAAATTTGTCATCACTTTTGAATTGTTCTCCAACTAAAACTTTTTTTGGACAGAGACACATTTTCACAGTGTCACGTTGCTCCTGTGCACATTGTCATCATCTTTATTTTCTTTTATGACTGGCGATTTCGGTAACACTGTTAAGTTCTTCAAGTTATAGTCTAAATTAATCACTTTGGAGTTTTTGGTATCATTTCGGCTGAGAAAAAGATCACTTGACACGAAAATGTCTATCAATCGAAATAAAAGTCGGGAAACAGACTGATAAAGAATTATCGTTGATCATGTGTTAGTCATTGAGGTAATTCTTTTACTGATGTCTCGTGCATATAAGATCAACAATATCTTCACGCTTTAAATCACGAGCAATTTCTACAGTTGTGTTTCCATGCTCGTCTCGCAAATTAATATCGGCACCATGTTCCATAAGCATTTTAACTACAGCTTCATGTCCTTTTTTACATGCTCTGACGATAGGACTGCATCCATATTTATCACATGCATTGATTTCTACACCGTTCTCCAATAAAAGTTTAATAATGCTGTAATGCCCACTCCTGCAAGCTATATATATAGGACTGAATATTCCAAGTTTACATAAATTGACGTCTGCACCATTTTGTAATAAAAGCTTAACAATACTGTCATATCCCTTGTCACAAGCAAAGTATAGAGGACTTTGTCCATCAATATCACATATATTCACATCGGCTCCTTTGTCGAGAAGAAGTTGTATGATATTGTTTCTTCCATCAAAGGAAGCTCTTCCAATAGGACTCAGACATTTGTTGTCACATAAATTGACGTCTGCATCGTTGTTAAGTAAGATCTTCACTTTGTTTTCAAATCCTTTGAGGCAAGAAATAAACAAAGGACTTATTCCATCATTGCGACATAAATTAATATTCGCGTTGTTTTGCACCAATAATTTTAAAGTACTATCATTACCAAAGAAACAGGCTCTCCAGAATGGGCTTTCTCCATTGGAATTACATGCATTGATATCTGCGCCACTGTCCAGTAAACACTTAACTATATTAGTGTGTTTACACTCACAAGCTACATGTAAAGCAGTGTCACCTTTATCGTTTGATAGATTGATATTGGCTCCATTACTCAATAGAAACTTTACTGTGCCTTCATGTCCATTCAAACAAGCATTCCAGAGTGGACTGTCACCATCTGTATCACGTAAATTTATGTTGATGCCTTTGTTTAGTAGAACTTGTACCATGATGTCATATCCAAGTTTACAAGCTGTATGTAGAAGACTTTCTCCTGATTTGAAACATAAATTGATATCAGCTCCATTGGAGATTAATAGTTCAATTGTGTTTCGAGGTACTTTATTAAAAATGCAGAAGTGCAATGGTGAACATTCAAAATTATTACGTAAATTGACTTTTGTTCCATACTTTATCAAACATTCAATTGTCTGATTACGCTTCACGCCCGCTTGTCGATTGACTTCAAAATTGTGCGCGTCATCAGTGGCTGCCATAATCAAAGAAGTAGATTTATTTGCTGTGAGAGTGTTAGGATTAGCTCCTAATTGTAGAAGTCTCTCAACAATATCCACATTGTGAAAAGCAGATGCTATATGTATTGGGTAATAGATTTTGCCCCATATTTTATCAATCCACAATTTTTTAACTTTTTTCCCCATTAAGTTGAATAGTTCTAAACTACCATTAGCACACACGGAAGGGAGTAAAAAATAATCTTTTAAAACTTTACTGTCAGTGTTATTCAAACAAAAAGAAGATATTTCATCATGACAATAAGAAATGAGAATGCTGATTGGTGTTATCCTTTCTTCTAACGAAACAAAGCGAATTCTAGACAAACGACTTGCTGCCATCGCTTCCTCGCTGTAAATGTATTTTTCAATCGATATGGTTTTTTCAGTGTAGAACATTGATAGATTGTCGAGACTTTTCATCTTCTCGATGAATTTTTCTATTACACTTTCACTTCGTAAACATGGATTAAGAACAACATCAAAAATACAATCGGATTTGATATCATTGAAGAATCTTTCTATAAGATCTCCGATATACATAGGATCCAGATAAATAGTAAGTGGATCAGGTGTTTCAGTTTTCTCTTGAATTTTCACTCTTTTTCGAAGGAAATCACCGCTTGCATATTTTATTGTCTCTTCTGGGAAATCTGTTCCAAATATCGATGTAGTAACTTCCATGACAAAGTCGTGAATGAAGGAAAATGAACTACCAATGCATTTTACAAAGGAACCTTCCAGCAACTTAAGATTTTGTTTAATACTTGTAATTTGTAAAGAAGAAGGCAAATTACAAGCTTCAACTATTTCATAAAATCTTTCCCGGAATTTGTCTGAATTTTTTATTTGCTTAACATCAATGCTATTGAACATTGAGAGAAGAATGAGTGCACAATATTTTTCCGTGCTTCTTTCTTTGTATGTTTCAATTTCTTTTCTAACTAATTCAGAAGGACATTTGAAAAGACTAAGTACATCTCCTAAGTAATGCCGATTAACAGCAAGGAGTTTGCAGAGCAAAGGAAAATATGCATCCGTCTTAATTATTTCATCAATATCATTTTTAGAAAGATCTCCCTCTTTCACATACTGTTTGATTATTAGCACCTTCTCTTCATCTGTTAAAACATTGCTACCACTGTCAATCTCTACGATATTGGATTGTTCTCTGAATAGCCCTTGCAAAACATTGTCTTTTATCACACACCGTCTACAAGATATCAACATCTTTGATTTTTCCAAACAAATTTCTATGGTGTTTTCAAGAGATTCCCATGAATGTTTAGATATTTCATCCAATTTCTCTTTTCCAATGGGGTCATTCATAATAAAAAGTCTCCGAGTGAAGAACCTTGAACACATTTCTTTAATTTCTCTAACTTCATCAATGGGAACGATATCCCAGCCCTGTCTCTGATACTTTAAAGCAATATGTTGAATCGTGGCAGTCTTTCCTGATCCGGAATTGCCTACGACAATGACAAAATTTTGATTTTGGAGTTTTTCTTCAACTGCTTTCGTTGCCAAAGTGGGAACAAATGTTTTATTTTCCATTTTCCAGTTGGCAATAATTGCTTCATTTAAAGACACTGGCCCTTTCAAAAAAGGGAAAAAATATCTCTAGTTAAAACATATTAATTACTAGTAAATTATTTATTTTCCTTATACTTGCAAGTTACTTTGAAAGAGCGAGAATTCCATCACTCCACGGAAACATCAGCATTAAGCAGAAAATTATGAATAGACAACTCACCATCTTTTTCGAATTTTGGACCATCTTGTGTGTCAATATTTCTTTGCTCTACAAAAAGAAATATATATTAAGTACATGTAATTCAACTTAAAGGTCATTGAGAACGGAAGAACAAGTAAGAGACATTTATTTGGACATAGTTTTATTACATGATTGTTTTCCGATACATTTTAGCGTGAAACAATTGTTTTATCAACACATCAACGTAAAAAAAAACCTAATGCAAATTCTCTAAAATTATTTCAGCAGTTCTTTGTTCATAACCCACTGATTTAAAAGAGTACATTCTATAACACGTGACACTTAGTCTACTAACATAATTCGTAATATAACAGAATTGTTTAAGTTGTAAAAATTAAATTGTCAGTTTTTATTCTTTTGTCTTTTAATTTCCCCCTCTGCAAGTGGGGGTTGGGTGGGGTGTTAATTTCATTCTGTCTGTCTGTCCATTCGTCTGTCTGTCCGAACGTCCGCCGTCTGTCTGTCTATTTGTCTGTAGTTCTGTCAGTCTGTAACACTTTCGTTTCCCCGCGACATCACGAGAAGCATTGAATCATTTGCAATGAAATTTTACACAAAAAGTCCTTATGACCTGAGAAGGATTCTTATGATGTTGTGGTCAAAAGGCAGAGTCGTATATTTATATATGCTGTGTATGCAAAACTTTTATTTCCCGGCGAGCGATGTCTCAAAAAGCTTTTGAGTCTTTGAAATAAAATTTTTGACCATAACACTTTTAAGCCCCCCCCACCCCACCCCCCCCTGAGGTCAGCACATTTTTTTCAGCACATTTTGTCTTCTTCTTTTTATTTTACAGGGACACACATATATGATTAAATATGTCATGTCATTATTCTGCTATCATAAATTGCAAATTATTTGAACGTCTATCAATTTTATCACCTTTCTTACTATTTTGAAGAGATGTTTTAGTTTTTTACTGTTAGTCCATTAAAAGTCATTTATTGCCTAGCCTGTATTTCTGCTAAGTTGACTTACAATTTGTGGATCAATAAACACAAATCTTATATACAGATTAAAGAGGGAAATAACAGAGCATTTGCAAAAATATGCATCGTTTTTTTTAAATTGTATATTAAAATATTTGTTATACTCACGACAACTTATTTTGTTTAAGTGCATTCCTGCCTTTATTTCCTTCACATCTGATAGAAGTGTTGACATATCTTCCCGGAGCTCTTTGTTATTTTCATGTTCTTCTCTCAGTTTTTCTACCAGCGCTTCTTCGTATTCTTCTTCCAGGGCCTGTCTTTCAATGTTTTGAAGGCCATCCATGTAAGTTTTCCCCGTATATGTTTGAAGCCTTTGACAAACATCTGATATAACTGACCAGCTGTCATCAAATGTTTGTTGCGAAGTAGAAGCCGAATACACGTGTCCAAAAACACTATTCCTAATCAATCTTATTCTTTCAATGTCATCTCCAATAGTAATCTCTATCGTAGAAGGCATGTCATTACCTCCCCAAGCATTTGTTGGTGGAGGAATCGTTGTACAAATATTCCTTAGAAGAGTATACATAAAAGTAATGTCAAAGTTTTTGTAGCCAGAATTTTTAGCATCAATTAAAAGAAGCTCCTGGTCAGAACGCAATTTTTTATAAAGGGATGAAGACTTCACTTTATTGAATGCAAGAGAAGGTGGAACATCCATTTCTAAAATATCTCTGTAGGCCTGAGTTAATACATCGTTTATAGCCATTCCAAGTTTTGCAAATCTAGAACTCCCTCCAGGATCCAGTCTAGATGCCATTTTTAAGTTTAGCAAAAAGAACAGATATCTTTCCTCTGAAACAAAAAAGGGAAATATTGAATGATAATTTTTCTTTTTATCTTTTTTTAAGATAAAACAAATAAAACGAATGAGTATTATAGCTGTATTACATAAAACCTTTGATACGAATTTTGTCAGGTTAAACCATTGACATCTGGTCAACTAATGCAAAGCAGTTTCACTTTAAATCTTATATTTCAATACCTGTAACTCTTGAATATACATGTAGTTCTTAAATTATGTTTATTATCTTTAATTATTTCAGATTCCCTTTAAATCAAACAAACAATCTGGAGGTTATTTTGCTTGTTTAATATGACACTTCTGGACTCGGTGATCAATTTGCTGGGGCTACCACAGGGCTGCCCACAATCAACAATCAATACAACAAATGCGACCCAGATCGGGCGGATCATGCACTGGGTAGGTCACAAGTGCATGAACGTCACCAATGCAATAATCAATCAAATTCAATCAATAAATCAATCAATCATTAATCAATCAGTCAATCAATCAATTCAAATATCAATCAAGTCAATTACCTGTCAATCAATCAATTATTAATCAATCAATCAATGCAAATATCAATCAAGTCAATAAGCAATGGAATGAGCGTAAGAATATGTCTAGCACTCGTCCAATTGCGTTGAGGTGCGACGGAATACGCCACTTGCAAGGTCCATGACTACTCGTGTCTACTACGAATAATCATGGAACTGCAACCGCCACCAATTGGGTGCCAAGAACCATGGTGACGGCGGCAGTACCTCAACGCAAATGGCCACCGTCGACCAGAGGCTGCTCATACATCAATAAAAATTTACAGAATAAGTGATTACACAAGTTTTACAAACGGAGCCAAGGACTTGTCCGTATAGAACAAATTATATTTACTCTAACATTGTTGATGCTTTCCGACACTGTACTTTTTCCATTGGTTACATGTATAATTTACCTAAAAGGCTGTCACTCTTTCTATGGCTTTTAAATCATTAAAACACCTCTTACCAAGACTACTTGCGTGACAAAGTAATAGAACTTAGAAAAATTTTATCTTTGCAAGTTTTGCTTATATTTGACTTAAAGGATTTTAAACTGAACCCATTTAACCTTTCATATAAATATTCGATTAAAGGAACCGTATACTTAGATTTATATTGCATCTTGTCAACAGGGCAGTTTAGCTTAGTTAAAACGAAAAACAAGAATTGTAAGAATGTTGACAAAAAAATTACCAGAAAAAATAGTAATAGTAATTTATATCAAGCTTACGCCCTTAACGTTAAACCTAGTACATGTATATTTGGTTATTAAGGAAGACCCTAACTTATACGAATATGGTTTAAATTATTACATGCCTTTGTTATGTTTACTAGCTTGAGATTGTTGAGCATGTGGAATTTGGTATATTGTTATATTTATGCGAAAACTAATATTTGCCATCTGCAAGTTTGATTAATTCAAGCTAGGTCATTGTATGCTGACACAAAGAGTGATACACACAATTGTTAGTTGCCTTAATGCTAAAAAGGAATTTTTTTTATTTTATACAAATTTACTTTTGTCTATCTATGATTTTCTTTGTATATTTTTATTTTTAAAATTTAGCCAAAAATTTTGGTAAAACTTGATATTACTAAAATTGGGGTATACCTGTCCCAAAGACTGCTTTGTAAAACTTATTTGATCAATCATGATAAAACATTTGCCTTATTAATTATGTTACCTCAGATATTATCCTATCCAATACAAAATGGCATATTATAATCATTTGAGAGTTATTATGATTATAAAAATTTACGGGATTTTGTGATGCAGACTCATGATCAATCTGTTTATTTTTGGGTTTTTTTGTGCATAACTACCATATACATTACCCTACATTAAATTTGACAATTTAATTTTGAGGGTTATGTACTCTGAAACAGGTTGTAATGTATGACAATAAGCAAGCAAATACATGTCTTTTATGGGCTTTTTAGTTGGTTTATGTTACTTGAGAACATTGCTTCTTATACGATCAGGCATACACGCAAAATAGTTCAGATAAGTTGGTAGGCAATGGACATTCCTAGTGTAAATGACAATGGATTGGTCAATGTAAAACCACTTTGAATGATGAAATTAGTTAAATATCTGAGAAAATAGAGTCTAGAGTATGCTGTAGGTTTGTGACATTGAATACATTAAAGACGTGTTACTGTTAAATACTCAATTTATTTCAACATAACTCTCATTTATTACCATAAGCATGTAAGTGTGGAATGTGTCCTAATTTATGACTTTAAATTTTAGTAAGAATTATTTCCCTTTATTTAAATTAATTTAAAAGAATTAATTTAAAATATTTTATTTTTATTTATTTATTTATTTTTCCAATTGTCATTCTATTTCTACTATTTTCATACACCTTTCCACCACAATATTAAATTATAATATTCTATTATTTTAATTTTTATTTGTTTAAAATTAACTTTCCCCAAATGTAATCTTTGTTAAATAAGTACTGCTTAGTTACTGAATTTTGCTTCTCCTGGGCAATGTTTTTTTTTTTTGCCTATAAAATGCTTTAATATGTCAGATATGGTATTACGACAGATAAGGGTAGAGAATTTAGTCCTATTAGAGATTAAAATTATTAATATTTCTATTTAAATGTTTATTTACAAGCTTTAATTTGCAGCCCAGTCAATCATATCAAGTTATCGAAAACTCAATCTGAGCAGGTTGATTTATTTTCTTATCAATTTGTGAAGTTTAATTTCAGTTTTAAAAGACCAGTATGAAGATCATGAAGTAACAGTTTTTTACCCTTGTCCGACTCTTAGGCCTTGTAATAATTTAACTCCTTGTTTGTGGCTTAACCCAGCATATATATTCTAAGGCATATGAATGATTTATTATTGCTGTAGTTTTACTCTTGATTTGTATGAAGCCAAAATCTACAGCTTTCTTCTCACTCTTAAAAACTCTTAAATTGTATATTTTATACAGCCATTGACCAGGTGGGCAACAACAGATCCCATGGTTAACCATTGAGTATTTCTCCCTCTAAAAAAAATAGCCCCTCCCCCCATAAAACTATGACCTTTTATTTTTTGGTAAAATAGTCTCTGTGTATGCCTTTATGCTTCCATAGATGAGCAAAAAAAAAAAAAATGGAACGATACCAAACTGCAAATGACTCATAACAATGATGATAATAACAAACATCCTATCGGTACTTTCAGTACTTTGATTACTGCACAAGTGAAAGTGACACAATTCTCGCGAATGTTCAATAGTAAAGGCTATTTAAAGACTATTAAATTTTGGCGAAATGTGTTAAGTACTAAGTACCTTCTTCAGGCTTCATAACATTGGAAAACAAAACTTAAAACGGATTAGTATGACTGACTTAATATTTCTGCGCTTGACACCCCCCCCCCCCCAACAAAAAGCGAATTGGGAATAAACAAATGTTTACGATTTATTCCTAAAAATAATACATGTATCTTAAGTTAAACCATCCCTTGACTCTCATATGTTTCATGTTGCTGTTATCTATCATTCAATTTATAACCATATTGTGTAAATTCAACCAATTAGTCGACGTTTGCATGGTTTGATCTTTACAAACAATCCGGGCCAAATCCAAAGTAAAATTACACCATCGGCACGTCTAATTTGGCTAGAAATCACAATCCATGACAGTTACTCATGAAATCAAACTTATTTCATTTCGAAAATTAAAACATTGCAACAATTCAACTTCACAAAATTTTCCATGACCTTATCGTTAAATATTGATTTATCGTGCAAGGAAGAGGAGGAAACAACTAAGTATTAGACTAGTTAAACATTACCACTTATACGAGCCTGGTCTTGGAAAAGTGAGTTTATTTCAGTAACCCTATGTCCTTCCATTGCGGATATCTTAAGTCCTTACAGATATATCATTACCGTCTTCCTTGGAAGACGGTATTGTATAGTTGAAGTTTTTTACAGTCTTCGGACTATGCACTTCCTCTCTTTTGTGATTGGTAGAAATTGCATGATGAGAAAATTTCCAATTATTTCATTGGTTGAAATGCTGTTCAAAGCAAGGGAGATAATTTTCTGATGATCTAATTTTCGTACGACTTAACAATTTTGCAAGATTTCCAATTTTAAAAAAAAATGACAAAACGAACAGCAAAATCAGCAGTAATTAATTCTTAATAACATGGTATTTTTTATAGCAATAAATAAAAAGGTCTCTTTAATTTCATTATAAATAAAATTTGATTTTTAATGCTTGCAGGCATTACAATTTGTTATTATTCTTTCCCCTTTCTTGTTTGAAGAAGGGAATGAAATCAGCCGAGGTTTGCCGAAAGCTCTCGGCCATCCAGTCAAAGTTTACGGAGATGACCGAGCGACAACCGTGGGTAGAGCTTATGCCAAAAGAATTATACGGTTTGACAGGTGCAGATCAGTTTACTGTTTAAGATTGTTGCTAAAGACGGGAAGCTTTTTTAAAAAGCTCTACTTGTTATATGTAACTTTAGTCCCAACCCAGCAATCCGGAAAATTTAAGTCTAAATGTATTAGACTAGTTGATGTAAATGGACTTAAATTTTCCGGATTGTTGGGTTGGGACTAAAGTTACATATAATGATTGATTGATTATTGGTTTTTTACGCCGACTCGGCAATATTTCAGCGGCGGTTACATATAATGATATATATATGTAAGGACTTAAGATATCCGGAATGGAAGGACAAAGGGTTACTGAAATAAATAGACCAGGCTCGTATAAGTGGTAATGTTTAACATTTGTAATTTATTTCTACTCATTTCTCATGTGAGGCCTTGAGTGAATAATTGCGTATTAATATATATATCAACGTATTATTATACCCCCGCTTGAAAAGTGGAAGGGTATAAAGTAATCGGTATGTCCGTCCGTTTAGCTGTACGTCCGTCTGTCTGTTCTCTTTGGGGTACCCATCTCTTATCAGCAACTCCTCTTTTACCACTGAGTGAAATTTAATGAAACTTTCACAGAACCTTTATTACATATTACCATTGTGCACCCCCTTTTTTTACTTTTTGATCCAACAAATATTTTAGTTTTCCAAACCACAGCAAAACATGGACTTTGCCATAATAACCATATGGGAGGCAGGGTATCATTTATTATTGTACAGTATATATTTTGGGGTGTAAAACCTAATAGATAAGATTTTCAGAGTTTCAATCAGCTAGAAGCATGTAAGTTAATTATAAGTTATGAGTAATTTGCTGCTATTGCTTACAGTTACAGCATGACTTTTATCAAATTATATAAAGTTTAAGTTAGTTGGATGAATGGATGGAGTAAAAGTGAACACTGGGAACCACATCCTTAATAAATGATCATGCAAAGGTACTAAGTAACTTTTTTATTTAAAAGAAATTTTTATCCGATAAGCATGGCTAAGGCGAATCAAATGTTTTTCTCATGCAAAAATTCTCGATATAGATTTAAATAATTTACAAATTAATGTATATTATTAAGGATACTAGTTTGTGTTGCAACTATCAAACAAGTTGCCAATGGATCACAACATTTACCTGAGTAACATTGGACACGCGTGGCCTCACCTTATGCCTGGGGTCATGTTTTTTGACAATATAGAATCTACAGTATGTACTTAGGATGTGTCCACATATGTTTCAGCTTTATCGAATAGTTCTTGAGAAGGAAATGTTTCTATATTTCAATGGTAAACTTCACATTTAGTAAACCCACCCTTCTCCCGGGGTTCAATTTTTTTTAACAGTTTAGAATCTAATCCACACAACTCCAGAATGCTTCAACATTCGTTTCAGCTTTCCCGGTTCTTGAAAAGATTTTCCCTACATGCGCTCGTATTTCAAAAGTAAACTTGGATTCCCTATTTTGGCTCCGCCCTACCACGGCGGGAGTCCTGATTTGAACAATGAAGAATCTACACTATTCCAGGATGTTTCCACGTGAGTGTCAGCTTTGCAAACCCAATGGTTTTGTGAAGAGTATTTTTAAAGATAGTTCCTTCATAATTAAAGATTAATCTAGGTTTGCCTTAAGTAGCCCCGGCCTACCACCGGGAGTAATGATTAAAACAATTAAATGTATATACTTCCCCGGGATAACTTACATGAATTTTGTTACAGTTGACGCTTACTTTTACACAAGGGCTATGTACGGTAGCTCCTTTACGATATAAATATTAAGCTCAACATTTCATTAAACGGAAATAACGGTTATTTCAATGCACATATAAGTTGTCCCTGAAGAAAACGACAGCGACCCTACCCTCAGCTCCCGGTCTTCACAAGTTAGTGCCCCTAACACCATACCTATGACCACAAGAAAGGTTTTCTTATGCATAATCAATTCTGTACTTCCGTACGTGACACAAGTTTAAATGTCAAAGTAAACGTCAACTGTAGAAGTCAGTGCTTCTCATCAAAGTCCATTACTTTTATTTTAAGTCAAATATTTATTTTCAAATAAAATATTTCCTTGGAGGAAATTATATTTAAAAAAAAAGACATGATGAAATCATGCCTTCAACATGATATACAGTAGTATATCGAGCATCTTTACTTTTTATAATACTACTTATCAAGTTTATGATTGGAGAAAGGACATCTAGCAGCACTCTATGTTATTTGCAATTTATACTTTGATAGAAGTTTATATTGAAATGGTTACATGTACAGCAAAACTCAGTTATAACGAAGTCGCTTGGACCTATGGTTTTACTTCGTTATATCCATAATTCGTTGCCGTTTCCATTCATTATCTTCGCAGAGGTTGAAATGAAATTTGGTATACAAATTTATCAGATGAATATATCGGACAAGTTCTGTTTTGAGATTTTAGTTGTGTCCCTTCGACTCTGGGGGAGGGGAACATGTGTTTAACGAACATCTCTTGTAATTGTAATTGTTTCAGTAGACATTTTCTTTGCGCAATCCTAGAAACTGTTCAGGATTATTAAATTTCAAATGGTTCTTTATTGACATTTCATTGTCTATGGCCCCTCTTTAGCTTTATTAAAACAGAGAATTTATCACTCAATAGATAACCTGGGCTATTTACACACAAATATATCCCTATTGGCGTCTCTTATCATTTCAAACATTCATTGACTGAGTTCTAGTGCAACATGTGTTTTTACGGACCCAAGAACCAAACACAACACGGACTCAGGCAGACAGGTAAGGGTCGACACAACGCATTTTGTCCGAGAACATAGTTAATTAATGTTTTGTTATTCATTTAATTATTTTTGTACATGTACATGTATGCTGTGCTGACTTCCGTGATGTAACCGCAGATCCGTGCCAATAAATGAAAATGCAAATAAAGCTCCACCCAGTCTGTGACATAAGCGGTCCAACATCTGATTCAGCGGTCAAACATCGATTTATTATGCCCGCCCAGTAAAGGATTAGAAATGGTAGATTTTTTGTATAGGTTTGTAGAAAAACAACATGCCCCCTACATGCAAGATTAATTATCACAATAACATGCAAGAAAATTATGTTTACATGCAAGATAATTATATTGACATGCAAGTTACAAATCTTTTAAGGGAATCTGATTTAAATATGATTCTGATTAAAAAAATAATTATATAAAATCCCGTGCTGACGCCCGTATCTGACATCGTAGATGGAAGATGCAACATATGAGAAGATGCGATTTATTTAAATTTTAACATGCGAGATAATTATGTTGACATGCAAGATATTCATGTCAACATGCGAGTTAATTATGTACGCATGCAAGATATTTATGTCAACGCGCGAGTTATAATTATGAAGACAAGCAGCTTATTTATGTCAACATGCAAGATACTTATGTTAACATGCGAAATATTATGTTCACATGCACGATACTTATGTTCACATGCAACTTATTTATGTCAATATGCAAGATAATTACTTGAATATCAACTTACATAAGTTGCATGTTGACATAATTATCTTGCATGTAAATATAAATAAGTTGCATGTTGACATAATTATCTTGCATGTTAATATAATTGAGTTGCATGTTGACATAATAATATTTTGCATGTTAACATGAATAAGTCGCATGTTGACATAATTAGCTTGCATGTTGACATAAATAAGTCGCATGTTGACATAATTTTCTTGCATGTTGACATAAAAATGTCGCATGTCTGCATAATTATGTTGCACACTGCATCTAAAATGTCAGATACAGGCGTTAGTAAGTAAATGTACCCATATTTAAATTATATTTTCTAATAAGAATGGTAACTTGCATGTCAACATAATTAACTTGCATGTTAACATAAATATGTTGCATATCTACATAACTTTGTTGCATGTTGACATAATTGATTTTGCATGTAGGGGGCATCACTATTTTATGAAAACGATCCACCATCTGATACTTATTTCTTTTCATCGAAGAAACATATAACCACAATATGGCATATGAAATAAAAATTAACGTAAACTCTTTTGCCGTTAATCAGATATTTGACCATGAGAATTATCAAGAGTATAACACAGTAACATAATATGACGTTTAGAAAAAAAGACAGACGTTTAAAGCAGCTTCCGAATACATACCTTGCACTTAATCCTTATAAATCTTCTGTTGACAAATTAATATCGAGAAACCTTTTACGTTAAATGCTTTTTGAAATACAACTGAATCATATACTAGACTTTTAAAAGATTCACAAGATCGTTCCATATCCTGATCTAGTGCGTTTCAGGCGTCGGGCTTTATCAACGAACTTTGTTCAATATATATCTATGATCTGTGTCTATAAATAGACATTATTTGTGCGCATCTAAAAAGAATTTAAGCTAGCGTAGCGTTTATGAATATTCATGAGTCATTTATGAGGTACGTCACGACTTTTCCGTCATGGAGCGAACGCTCTTCCAACCGAATAATGAATATTAATCTAGATCTAGGTTACAATTTTATACCAAAAAAATATGACCTTTAGAAAATAAAATGTTAAAAGAGAAGTTTTAAACAGCCCTTAAACACAAACCTTACTTTCGGTTATCTGCACGTTATCCATAAATTGATTTTAAGAAGGATATGGAATGTTCTCTACAGATCTTTTCAAAACGAACACATTAGTGTACATGTATATCGTGATCTAGAGCAATTTTATATAGGCCGAGTTGAATCAATAAACGTTGATCGATAAATATCTATGATCTGCGTTTTAAAATAGACACTTTCTGTGCTGCATTTAAAAACCGTTCAACTGCACTTATGAATAAGTCTTTTTAACTTTTTAACAACATGAAGTCGTATCACGATCAGAAGGACCGATCTTCACGTTCTAGTGCAAAACTTCCATCCAATGCGTCACTGGAGAAAAAAGGGTTTTCCCTGTTAATCACAAGATTGATATACATGCATAGATTTTTTTTCTTTATCGTGCAGGTAGTATTGTGTGTTGGGAAAAGGGTCCTGAACTTTTTAAAACTATTGATAAATAGTTGTAATTTGGAAATGTATTAATACAATTCGGTTTCTTACATACATGTAAGTTAATATAAAGAAATATATGGAAATAACGAACAGATTTCAATCTCAACAGTCAAATAAAAGTCAGAAATAAAAACGTAACGCTGTTTCAGATGGTGCTTTTGATAGCAATTGCTCTGCTAGCGTGCACCCGTTCCAACCGCCACCGCAACAAATAAATCCTGATATAGGAATACAAGTTGCGATACTTGTCCCTTATCAATTTATTTAATTATTTATTCAGCTTATCAAAGTTTTTAAAGTTTTATATCTGACTGCACACTGTAACTTTCAAAAACGAAACAACATGCCTAAATTTATAGTGATTTCATCAAACCATAACAATTTATATGTAGTCGAGTATATCTTTTTTTTTTACCGTGGATTCATGTTTGACATTGATATAATTATTTTTAAAATTTCGTGAAATTTGCCATAAAACAAAATTTGTACCAATGACATGTCATCTGATCCCATGAAATGCAAAATTCATTCCCTAAAAATTAAATTTCATTTCAAAAGAAGAAAATTCTCTCCCAAAAAATTAAAAATCCTTCCCCATGAAATAAACTTTTTCACGTTAAAATTTCATAGAAATGAAATTTTCTTTTGTGTGAACTAAATGTTTTTGATGGGAACGAAGGATAAAAAGAAATACATTTTAAACTGTTAAAGTCTGCAATTCCTTTCAATAAACAAAATCTTTTTGGGGAGGGGGATAACCTCACAAAAACTGGATAAAATAAAGTGCATTACGTATTCTTTTTAACAAATTAAAGATAACAAATTATGCTTTATGTCA